GATCTATGTCTGGAGCTTGTCAAGGGGGATACCTCCTGGTTGATCCTGGGATTTTTGAGACAGGAGGCGCCCCTATAACTCCCGCGGCATCTTGAACAGCTGGTTGGGGTGTCTGGGGCGGGTACGTCAATAGCTTCATTCTTTTTCTGAAGGGTCCCACCCAAGTGGGATTATTTATATCAGTTTCCTGGGGGCTGTTGTGTGTTATAGGAGGGATCTGTGCGGCCACTAGCGTACATGATTAAATATCAATCTGAAAGGTTCCAGTAGAGATTCCCTGGAATTGTGGGCTTGGGTGTTATCAATGTGCTGGTGATACCAGCTCTGTGTCTGTCATTAAGAAGGCAGGACTATTATATAAAAAAAAGGATTCATGACTGCTTTGTGGGAAGAAAGGATGCTGGAAGACCCACCAGTTTGGCTCACATCTTGTTCACCACGACTGATTCCCCACAAGAAGCTGTGCTGCACTCGCTCTTCTGTTTCCCCCCCTTGCATTGGTCAGTTTCACACTATTCGCCACGTGGCCATATTTTGACCTGCATCTCCCCGCGATTTCCCCTGCGTCTTCTCGATCCTTATTTTTGAGATTGAGAAGACGTGGGGCTGAGAGAGCTCTTTCCAGAACTGTCCTTTAGAGAACAGCTCTGACAGAACTGTGGCTTGCCCGAGGTCGTCTAGCCAGGTGCAAGTGGAGGAATGGGGAATCAAACCTGGTTCTCCCAGATTAGAGTCCACGCACTCAACCACCACACCAAACTAACCAGCCAGAGGCCACCATTTGGGGAGAGTAATGAGTAATGATCTGGATGTCACCAACACGATAATGTAACTTCACCATGTTGCTAGCGATGTGGCCTCGGCTTCCCTACTGCGCTTATGAAGTCCCCCTGCCAGCCAGCTGATTGGCGGCTGCCCCCAGAAGTGGGGGATCCCCACCTCCAGCAAGGGGTTGGCAACCCGACCCCACTACTATGGCCAATGGCTAGAGAGACAAAGAGGCACTCTTTTGATTTTGTAGCAGATCATCTATCTCCGGAGCTGCGGTGGCTCAAGTGGTTAAGACACTGAACTGCAGGCTGTGGAAGGTCAGTAGTTCAGCAGTTTGAGACCCGGGTGTGCCGCATGACGGAGTGAGCTCCCGTCTCTAGTTCCAGCTCCTGCCAACCTAGCAGTCCGAAAGCAAGAAATTGCAAGGAGATAAATAGGTACCACTTCGGTGGGAAGGGAACAGCGTTCCGTGCGCCTTGGTGTTTTGTCATGCCGGCCACATGACCACGGAAACGTCGGACTCGACTGGCTTTCAAGCAAGGGAAACCTTTGCCTTTACCTTTTACATCTATCTCCGCCCCCGAACACGAGCACAGGAGAGAGATCCGGCACCCTGCAGTGCTTCAGCCAACTTGCAGCGGGCTCTGTCCGCTTCCCTCTCCATCTTCCGAAGGTGTTTCTTGGCCTCTTGTGCTGAACTGAAGGTGTTCTGCCTTCTTCAAGCCCCAGCCGGTCCTTGAAAGAGAGATCAGACCATGGTCCTTTCCGCCCAAGACCTTAAATCCTGGTTCAACCCTGTCCCCGAACTTACATTCCAAACCACACTCGAGTTCACCCCTGTAATTATCTCGGGGTATTTTTTTGTTTCCACATTACACTGAGGTCACCCCGGTTTCACCCCACTCTTGTCCCGGGGTAAACGGATGCTGCTATAACCGGGGATCGATGCAAGGTATCGGGTCGCGAGTGGAACTCTGATAAACCCAGGGGTGAGATCCCAGTGGGGAAAGGACCCGTCTCTTAACCATTACCTTCGGTTCAGGCAGCCTCCACAAGTCATGAAAGGACACGAGTCGTTTTCTTTCTCAAATCGCTTATCCACTTCGGAGGGCACTTCAGATCCAACCACAGCAGCAGTGATCAGGCAGGCGTGAGGGGCAGGCGTCCTCAACCTTTGTGAGCCTGTGGGTGCATGTGGAATTTGACATGGCATGGTGGGCACAGCCACAAAACGGCTGCCGTGGGAGGCGGGGCCAGGCACAAAATAGCTGCCATGGGAGGTGGGGCCAGGCACAAAATGGATGCCATAGGAGGCGGGGCCAGGCGCAAAATGGTGGGCGCAGCTTGCTTTCAGTCATACAATGAAAGATCCTGGTGCCGTGGTGGCAGCTGCTCCCAAAGTAATGTTTTTAACCATCTGCACAGCCATTCAAATCTTCAGTGGTGTCAGCTATGCTGCCATGGGGGTTGGGATGGTCAGACAGCGTCGGTGTCATTGCTCTTGCATTCCTTTCTGTGCTTCGTGCTGAAACGCTTATCTGTAAAGATGTGCAGGTGGGGGTTGTGGTGTCTGCCTTTACCAGGGAGCCGCGGGAGAATACGAGTTCCCAGCTTCGGCTAGAAACAGTTTGCAAGCTTTATCCCGTGCGCGGGAGGGTGCCTAACCGGCCAGCGCAGTGGGGAGGGGGGGTGCATACGAATACCCTATATCTTATTATGTCCAAGGGGCAACTGCCATTCTTAACAGTGACCTTGTTAATATAGCTCTTCAATAAAAGTATTGCCTTTCCTGAAAGCGTGTACTCCGTTGTTGGCTGTGGGCTCTGACAAGTGGCCAGTCAGAAGCCGTACAGGGCAAAAGTCCCACCTGTCCCCGCACACTTGGAGGGCACCAGGAAAGGGGTTGCCAGGCACCTTGGGACCCATGGGCGCCACATTGGGGGCTCCCGGTCTAGCACATGCTGTTCTCTCCGTCTAGCACGGAGGCCCCCAACCTTTTTGAGAACCATTATAATTCTGACATGGGGTGGTGGGTTGGGCGCAGCCCCAAAACGGCTGCCTCAGGAGGCAGAGCCAGCCCCAGAACGGCTGCCGCAGCTTCCCTTCAGTCCCCCAGTGAAGACCCTTGCGTAGGGATCCCAAGTCCCCCCGGGGGGCGGGGAAACCCCCGCCCCAGAGGCCCGTTCCCCAGCGCCGCCGGATCGGGCCCCGGGGGGAACTCCTCCCCGACGTGCGCATCACTCAGAAGTGACGCGGGCACGCTGGGGGCGGGGCCACAGCCATACAAGGGAAAACTATGGTTTTCCCTTGTATGGTCGTGGCCCCGCCCCCAGCGTGCCCGGCGTCATAACGTCACTTCCTGGTGACGTGTGTGCGGCGCGCGCTTCGGGATCCACCCGGGAGTCCCCCACCGCCAAGGTAAGTTCCACTTGGCAACGCTACCCTTGCGCTGTGGTGGCAGCTGCTGCTGAAGCAGCGTTTTTAAAAAATCTGCACGGCCAGTGAGAAGCTCTGCTAGGCAAAAGCTGCACCTGGCTCTCTAAAACTACTTGGGCGGGCACCAGGAAAGGTGTTGGCAGGTGCAACGCTGGGGACCCCTTGAGCGAGGGCATCTCGAGGCTCCCAACTGCTTTTTCCGAGCCTCAAAGGAAGCGTTTAGATCTGTCGCTTCTGGAAGGTTACAGAGCTCACGGGGCAGATTTCCCAAAGCACGATAGCTGCGTAAAGGCTGTCGATTGCCCAGAGGGGGCTCCAGGGAGCCAGTGAGACTCCCCCCCCCCCATTAAAGCAACTGGAGAGTCTTTTATTTATAGGAGAGAAATGTTCTGCTTTGATACTAGAGAGCAAACCTGGACTCGAGCCACTGATTCTCCGGTCAAATTTACAGTCGTCTGTCATGATAATGATGGCAGGTGACCCACTGTGAGTGTTTGTTGTCAATAGCTGCCTTGGTAATCGTGAGCGCCCGTGCCATAGCTGGGGGTTCTTTGTCTTGCCATAAATCTCGCGGCACGGCCGAGGCCAGGATTTTCACGTGAAACAATACAAGACATTGGAACATTTGGGACGAGGCCAGCCTGACTGAGGGAAACGCAGGGGCTATCTTCGGAATAGACACCACATTTGTAATCTAGAAGGATTCCAGCTTGTCCTAAAGCAGTGGTGGCGAACCTACGGCACGGGTGCCAGAGGTGGCACTCAGAGCCCTCTCTGTGGGCACGCGTGCCATCGCCCCAGCCAGGCCCAGACCATCATTAAAGTGTCGAATCCTCTGCCAAATAATTTTAAGTAAATGAAAGCATTTGGGATTGCTTTCCTTACTTTGTTTGGATCATCTTAAATTAATGTATGAGTTGTTTTTTCTAAAGTAAAACCTCAGGATTCAGGTTAAATTGCCGTGTTGGCACTTTGCGATAAATAAATGAGTTTTAGGTCGCAGTTTGGGCACTCGGTCTCTAAAAGGGTTGACAGCACTGTCCTAAAGTCTCTTGATGAGAGGGTTGCCAGTCTCCAGTTGGTGGCTGGAGATCGCCTGGGATTACAACTGATCTCCAGGCGAAAGATCCAGACAGAAGATGGGCTGTCTGGCATCAGACCCTGCCGAGGTCCCTCCCCTCCCCAAACCTCACCCTCCTCAGGTTCCACCCCCCCAAATCTCCAGGTATTTCCCAATCCAGAAGTGGCAACCCTCCTTTCTCCTAACGTTACATAGTCCACAAAGGTTATTCGGCCTTGTATTTGTCCTTTATAGCCATAAAGAAGGAACTGATGGCGGTGGATTTGTGCGAAGGCCCAACGTCTTGTTCTCCCAGTCTTCCTTAACGTCATCACACAGGTGATTGGCCTGCTTTTTATCTATCACTTGATTAATCACCTGGTCGCCGTCACGATCGATCCAGCGGATCAGAATGTCCTGGCCAAGAAAAACTACAACAAGCCCATGCCGATCTTTGACCGCAGCACGTGCAAGCATGTGATTCAGAACCAGCGCTGCTACCTTTGTGAAGTTGAAGTGTAAGTCTTCCCTTAATACTATTGTAAATGGAGACCTTGTTCCTTGGCAAAAAATAAAGATCCCACAACACCTCTGTCTAGTGGCACAGAGTCTGAGCCCAGCGGCACCTTTAAGACCAACAAAATTTAATCCTGGGTATAAACTTTTGTGTGCCTGCTTCAGACCAATACGGCTACCTGTCTGAATCTAACCTCTGACAGATAATGCTTGCTTTGAGCCAGCAGTGGCCTTAGATGCTAGAACTCTTGGCCTTCAAGAGTTGTGGCCAACAAGTAGGTCATGAGTTTATTTCAAGGGTGGATATGCCAACGATACCACATCCATCTTTTGCAGAGGAGAGGGGAATCTAGGAGGAAAGAGAAAGGGTGACAAGGGGAAATGAGGGTGGATCTAACTCTGTGGTATCAAAACTGTGGTGGGGAAACCTGAGGTTCATAAGAACTAAGAAGAGCCCTGCTGTGTCAGGCCAGTGGTCCCTCTAGTCCAGCGTCCTGTCTCACACAGTGGGCAATCAGTTCCTCTGGAGAGCCAAAAACAGGACATGGAGGCTGAGGCCTTCCCCAGATGTTGCCTCCTGGCTCTGGGATTCAGAGGCTTAGTGCCTCTGAATGTGGAGGTTCCCGTCAGCCACTATGGCTAGTAACCATTGACAGACTTATACTCCATGAATCTATCTCATCCCCCTTTAAAGCTGCTTACTCCTGTGGCCATCACTACATCCTCTGGCAGCGAAGTCCACATTTTAATTCCTTGGCAACTTAGCAGTTTTTCTGTCCTGAGAAGGCCAATAAAAGGTGTAGGTCTGGGGCTCCGTGGAAGAGCATCTGCTCGGCATGCAGAAGGTCCCAGGTTCTAATCCCAGGCGTCTCCAGTTGAAAAGACCAGGCAGTAGGGGTGGGCAAAGACCTCGGCCTGAGACCCTGGAGAGCCCCTCCCAGTCTGAGTAGACAACACTGACCTTGATGGAATGATGGTGTGATTCAGTAGAAAGCAGCTTTACACTTGTATATATCTTGGGTGATTTCCCACAAGCGCTGCTCCGTGCTCACTCCTCCCTTTTGCCCCGATGGTACGTGTCAATTTCACACAAACTGCTGCGCGGCCGCATTTTGCCCCGCAGCATCGTGCGATTTGCCCCACGTCTACTCAGTCCTCAAAAAACAGGATTGAGTAGACGCGGGGGAAATGGCACGAAGCGGTCGCGCAGCAGCTTGTGTGAAATTGACACGTACCATCGGGCCAAAGAGAAGAGTGAGCGCGGAGCAGCTCTTGTGGGAAATTACCCCTTGTGTATTTCTTAAAGCACAAATGTTTTATGAGGACGATGTACGTTCTTGCAATAGGTTTTATTTGGTCTATGCACGTGGCAGAATGACACGGTAGAATCCTGAGGTGGTAGAACACAATGTGAAACTTCAGAATACAGGTGCAGAATCACATTTACGTAGTGCTACATTGGCCCCGGTCACACGGAGGATTTGCCGCGGGAGAGGCACGAATGTTGGGCGGAGTATACAGGCGCGATCACAAGGACACATCTGGCAAGCGTAGCACACCCATCGCCGACCCGTAGCATCTGCCCGAAGATCCGGAGTTTAAAAAATACCCGGGAAAGCCTACTAGGAAATGGTTTGCTACAGGCTGTCGACGGAATACCTACGTGTGATCGCTCAAGCGCGCTCCTCTTGCCGTGTCGACGCGCGCCGGAAACACGCACCGACAAACAAAACCCCGATTTGCTGCCCGCGGCGTCTGATCGTGTTTTGGCGCATTAAATTGAACCGGCGCAAAAAGCCACGCCCCCCCCCCCCCCGCGTTATCTGGCCCGTGTGTCCGGGGCCATTGTGTGTATTTAAAACAAAAACCTCCCAGCAAGTAGAAACGAAGCATCCCAAGATTTGGCTCACTTCCCCTTCCGCCAGTGCGTGATTTCTGCTTGCAGGGTTTTCATGGGGCCCTGCATTTTGAAAATGGCATCCCATGTGGCTACAGTCTGAACGGACACAGTCCATTCTGCCGCATCATTCTGCTGCCTATGTACCGGGCCATAGAAGGGGGGAGGCTGCAGAGGCAGAAAGCGTTGAAGGAGGTTTGGGACAGGGAGCAGGAGAGAGGAGGTTTGGAATCCTCATTCGTCAGGAAGAGACCAGGCCGCAGGGCCGTGGCTACAGTGGGGCATCTTGGGGCTATGCCCCCCCCCGACTTACTGTCAAGGCCCCACAACTTCCCATCCATCCCAGGGCCCCTGAGCAGCAGCAGGTGCAGGGAAGGAGTCGGGTACTCCTGTGCGGCTGTCTGGCGTGAAGGGCCAGCTACGGTGGCCGCGCAGAGTCAGACAGCACCTATTTCCCCCAGAAACTTAATTAAATTACCTTTAATTCAATTAGCCAGTGCCCCCTAAGAAATTTAAAGGCCCTCAGACTTAAAAAATCCTGGCGACAGGCCTCCCAGGCCGCTTTGGAGGTTATCTCCCAAATGACTGGCTGATTGCAGTTAAATAACCACACTTGTGATGAGCCTTTACAATGGCGTTCTCAGCTTGGACAACAGTTTTAAAAGCTTGGAGGTGGCCGGCTGCCCTCTAAACTTGGTACACCACTTCTCAGGCTGCGTATCCTAGGTGGCTTATTGCTAGGGCGGCCAGACCCAGTGTGGGCAAGGGTCCCCCCGGTTTGGGGTCCTCTCTGCCCCCTAACTACCCCTCAAACAGGCAGAAGCTGGAAATAAACACGACATGCCTTCGTCACCTGGGGTATGACGTGCTGGTTTTAGGGCAAAGCTCTATGGTAGAAGCTAATTCTACCATAGAGTATTGCCCAAAAACCAGAGTGTGGCCCCCACCCCCGACATCCCCAATGTGTCTACATCACTTCCAGGTGACTTTGTGTTTCTTTTCAGCATTGCTCCCCACTCCCAATAAGCTCACCCCCCCATCCCCCACCCCCAGGCCCGAGGAACCTGGCAGCCCTACATATCGCTTCTGTGTGCATATAGAGTCTCCACCAGTGGTCCCTAATCTTTTTGAGCCTGTGGGCACCTTTGGAATTTTGACACCGTGAGGTGGCTGCGGACACAAAATGGCTGCCACAAAAGGGCTGCTGCAGGAGGCAGGCCCAGGCCCAAAATGGCTGCCAGAGCTTACCTTCAGTGAGCCAGTGAAGGTCCCTGTGTTGCGGTGGCGGCGGCTGCCAAAGCGACATTTTTTAAAAAAAATCTGCACAGCCAGTCCAATCTCTAGTGGCCAATCAGAAGCCTTGCTGAGCAAAAGACCCACCTGACCGTGTCCACTTTCCAAAATAATTTTGGCAGGCACCAGGAAAGGTGTGGGCGGGTGCCACAGTGCCTGCGGCCAGCCCGTTGGGCCCCCCGGTATATGAGCTATCTAAATACGAAGCCTTGCCCTCACTGTATGATATATTCTCGTGCAAACTTTAAGCCGTTGAATGTATTTCTTTAATGTATTTCCCCCCCTAGAGGGCCAAAAGTCAAACACTGTAGTGCCTGCAATAAATGCATTGCAGACTTCGATCACCATTGCAACTGGCTAAATAACTGCGTTGGAAGCAAAAATTACTGGTAAGTTAACAGCCGCTAGCTTGGGATTTCTTTCCTGTCTATAAAGCAGGCATCTTTCCAGGAGGGCGGAATGGTCAAAGAATCCCTCCCATAGTGTTTCAGACCGCCACCTCTAGATACATCTCAAAAATATCTGACCAATCTGCATAGGCAGAATATAGACTGAGTTGGTGATTCATTGTTCTTATAAAGAAGCGTAAATGCCCCCCACCCATGTACTAAGTATGGATGACTGATGGGCACAGCCTTTTTGTGTTAACTAGGAAGTATTTGATACATATGGCTGACTTTATTAGAGGCATGAAAATGTAGCTTCAGCAAATCTCAGAACTCCCTGGGTTTTGTACAGTCTTGACTCTAAGAACATGCCTTCAGGTCCTTTGGACCTGCCGGCCTTCTGGGCCCTGGCTCCTGCCCCGGGGGAACTCTCTACTTAATGACATCCGCGCCCTCCGGGGCCTAATGCAGTTCCACAGGGCGTGCAAAACAGAGATGGTTGAGGACAGCAACGCTTTCCCATCGCATCGGGCTCATGACCCACCCCTTGGAGGAAGAAACTGCATTCTGAGTGCCATCAAGGAGAGATTTGTTCCTGATTTTTATTCTGACTCATTACTGGTTGTTTGCTGTCTGATGCTGTTGATGTTTTTAAATTAGTTATTGTATGTTTTTACGCATGGTGTACACTACCCTGAGCACTTTGGTGGGAGGGCGATCTAGAAAATAATAACAACCACAACAACAACTGAGAATGCGACCCAGAACATGGCCACTTTTTTTTTCTCTTTCCCATCAGGCTGCATGTTTTAGAGCAGTGGTCCCCAGCAATGCACCCTCTAAGCCGTGGAGTCTTGTGAGCAAAAATTCTACTTTGTGAGCTGCTGGCATTAAAGTTGTGAGCGAGCGATTTGGCTGCTACATAAATCAGTTTGCTCTGGAGCCCTCCTCCTTCCTGAGCTAAGGCAAAAATCTGTGAGCTGGAGGCTAAAAAACGGTGAGATGGCTCACACTAACTCAGCTTAGAGGGAACACTGGTCCCCAACCTTTTTAAGCCTATGGGCACCTTTGGAGTTCTGACACAGCTTGGTGGACTCAGCCACAAAATGGCTGCCCCAAAACAGCTGCCACAAGAGGGTAGAGCCAGGCACAAAACAGGTGCCACAGCTTCCCTTCATTCCCCCAGTGAAGATCTTTGTGTCGTGGTGGCAGCTGTTGCCAAGGCGACGTTTTTAAAAATCTGCACAGCCAGTCAAATCTCCAGGGGACAATCAGAATCCGTGCTGGGCCCAAGCCACCCCTGGCCCTGCCCACTTTCTGAAAACGCTTGGTGGGCACCAGGAAAGATGTCGGCGGGCACCTGTTTTCGAGGATGATTCGGTAATAGACGGCAGGCAGTCCAGGAGCCCACAAGAAGCTTCTGACGGGTCCCAGGAGTGTGGTAGAACGGCGCTCCGGCAGTAAGGAGCCTGGGGTGGGCCCCCCCTGGCCTGCCCACGCAGGTGGACGGGCCAGGGAAGGCCTGCAGAGTCCCCCCCGCTACCTGGGGGGGATTTAAATGCCTTTCTTTCCCTTCCCTGGATGGGGATGGGAGAGAAAGGCATTCTAAACATGCCTGCCCTTTGTCAGGGGGTGTGGCATATGCAAATGAGCTCCTGCATCTCTTTTTCTACGAAATGACCCCTGGTTAAAATGACTGGGGGAGCTGAGTTTGCACAGACCAGATTGCCAGCTGGGAAGAACCATAAAACATTTCCTGGATCCCTTAAAATCCAAACTGGACAGGCACATGCTGGGACAGTGATTGTACCACGTGACGGACCCAGGCCCCTCGGTCTTTCGTTCTAGGTGAGCAGAACGGTTGTAAATCTGTCATTAAATAACTGTGCCTTTTCTACACAAAAGCTTCGTAAGCCTCCGCTGTTGCACATTCGTGACTCTTTCTGTCCGTGTCTGCCCGCCCAGGTTTTTCTTCAGCGCAGTGGCTTCCGCTGTTCTTGGGCTCTTCCTGCGGATCTTGGTGGTCCTGTACGTCTTCATCCAGTATTTTGTGGATCCGGGACAGCTCCGCACAGCTCCTCAGTTTGAAAGTATTGTTCCACTGACTTAACATCTCTCTTTCTCCAATGGTCTAGTAGTAGATCCTCCATGTTCAGAGGCAGCAGTCCTTAAAAATACCAGTGCCAGGAGTCAGCATCAGGGGAAGGCCTCAGCCTCTGTGTCCTGTTGTTGGCCCTCCAGAGGAACTGGTTGGCCACTGAGTGAGACAGGATGCTGGACTAGAGGGACCACTGGTCTGATCCAGCAGGGCTCTTCTCATGTTCTTAGTACATATTCAAGGTGGTAGTGGTATTTTCTGAAATGAAGGCCCTTCTGGTTTCTTTGCCATTGATTTTGACCTTTAACAAGGGAAACTACTGTATTTCGTAGACGAATGGTTCTGAATATCCCTGTGGATCACAGCTCATCATGCTGAACATTTTGTGCACAGAAGTTAAAGGATGGGGAAGTCAGCGCAAAGCGGCAAAATTACTTGTGGCTTTCATGAGGTTGTCCCTTCCCTTGAGAGTGCATGTAAAACTGGGGGGGATCACAATTCAATTTGACTTCTTTCACCTCTCATGAAGACACATGAAGCTGCCTTGTACTGAATCAGATCCTTGGCCTATCTAGGTCAGTATAGTCATAGAGTCATAGAATGTTAAAGTCGGAAGGGACCTTGCAGGTCATCTAGTCCAACCCCCTGCACTCTGCAGGAGCATAGCCAAAAGATAGCCCTACAACATACAATATAGTCGACACTGACTGACTGGCAAGAGCTCGCTGGGGTCTTGGGCGGAGGTCTTCCACATCATTTCTAATGGGAGATGCTGAGGGATTGATCCTGAGACCTTTTGCGTGCAAAGCTGGTACCCTGCCATGTCCCCACACCTTAAAATGTCCCTATTAATAAAAGTTTGGAATGGGTATTTAACTTTGGTGTAATTTGAGGTGTATGTCCTTCCATGGCCCTGACCTGGATGGGCCAAGCTAACCTGATCTCAGCAGATCTCGGAAGCTAAGCAGGGTCGGCCCCGGTTAGCACTTGGATGGGAGGCCAGGAAGAAATCCTAGGGTTGCTGTGCAGAGACGGGCAGTGGCAAACCGTGTCCCTTGTCGTAAATCGTAAATTGGTTGCAACCTTCTAGCAAAAAGAAAATTTTAAAATCCTTCCATGATTTGACTTTCAAAAGAAAACAGTGTTCAATTGAATATGGTGGCAGCAGTATCTGACGGAAGTACATGCCGCAGGAAGTGGTGGCGACTACGGGGACAGGCAGCTTCAAGAGGGGTGTGGTGAAACGGGGACCCGCCCTCAGCCCTGGGAGACTGAGCAACCATTCTGTGGCTCGCAAGCCCGTTTTTGCCTTCCCACCCTTCCTGGTGGGGCTATTTCCTTTCGTTACACGCTGCCACCACTCACTGAATGGACGCCGCCTTCCTAGAGGGACAGTGAGACCCCTCTGGCTGATTCCCCAACCTTGGGAAGTTGGTACCGCAATCATTGGGTGCCCCCTGGAGAGTTGGGAACCCTTCCAATTTGGGCCCGTTTGGGTTCCCTGGCCTCCCTTTTGCTTCTGGTAATATGCCAAGCGGGGAGGCCTAAGTGGTCAAGGCACACAAGGTCTCAAACTCAAAAAAGGTTTATTTGAACTATATACATATTAGGCACAAAACTTAAACACAGCACATCAATACAACCTGGGCACAGAAAATAAACAGGATTTAAAACGCCATTCCTCTGTCCCCTACACACACGCTCTCTATCTCTGGAGGTTGTGGGCCTCAGGATGGGATTTACTTTCCACCTCCTGTTGTTGTGGAGAAACCCCAGCCCTCCTTGGGACTGGTCACTTGTACTGTTACCCTCCTGGCTGTCCACCACGGTTTATAGTGGCCTGGATGCCCTGGAGCCTGTGGTAACAAGAGCCCCACCTGTACACTCCCTCGAAGCTGCCGTCCAAGCTGAGCCAAAGGCCAGAGCAGGCTGAGACTGAACTCCCCCCTCAGGAGCCAAAGCCTTTATCTCCCTGGCTCCGCCCCTGGGGTGTGTCCATATTTTCCCGCTCTTTTCCCTCACGCTTCTGGGAACTGTAGGCAGGGAGGTATGGCAGCTCCCTTGTTCCCTATGGAGTACCTCCCCCCTCCTAAGGACTACCAGGCTGGCATCCATTTTAAAATACACTGCTGCCTCTGCCTAGCAGCCATTTCGTTACAAGGGGATTGGAGAAACATGTGGAGCAGAGGTCCATCAGTGGCACCTTTAAGAGCAACAAAGATTAATTCAGTGTATAAGCTTTCATGTGACAGTGATGCTCTGTATTCTTGGTGCTTGGGGGTGCCCACAGTGGGAGGGCTTCTGAAGTTCTGGCCCCACTGATGGACCTCCTGATGGCACCTGGGTTTTGGCCACTGTTGGACTGTGTCAGACTGGATGGGCCATTGGCCTGATCCAGCATGGCTTCTCATACGGTCTTACGTCATTTCCTCACAAATTTCCTTCAGAACTTCCTAGAATCATAGAATGTTAGAGTTGGAAGGGACCTTGCAGGTCATCTAGTCCAACCCCCTGCACTCTGCAGGAGCATAGCTGAAAGATAGCCCTACATACCTACAACATACCCGAAAGATGGTTGTCCAGCCTTCGCTAGAAAACGTCCAGCGAAGGAGAATCCACCACCTCCCGAGGCAGACTGTTCCACTGCTCAACCACTCTTACAGTTAGGAAATTTCTCCTGATATTTAGCCGGTAACGACTGCCTTGTAATTTCCACCCATTAGCTCTAGTCTTGCATCCGGAGCAAGAGATAATATTTCTTCTCCATCTTCTACATGACAGCCCTTCAGATACTTGAAGACGGCAATCATGTCCCCTCTAAGCCTTCTCTTTCCCAGACTAAACAGACCCAACTCTTTCAGCCTTTCCTCATAAGACTTGGACTCCAACCCTTTCACCATCCTGGTTGCCCTCTTCTGGACACGCTCGAGCTTGTCAACATCCTTCCTCAAATGTGGTGCCCAAAACTGGACACAGTACTCCAGGTGAGGCCTGACCATAGCAGAACAGAGCGAAACGACCACCTCCCATGATCTGGACACAATGCTTCTGTTCATGCATCCTAAGACTGCATTAGCTTTCTTCGCAGTCACATCGCACTGCAGGCTCATGTTTAGCTTGTGATCCACCAGAACACCTAGATCCCTTTCGCATGTGCTGCTGTCAAGCCAAGTCCCTCCCATTCTATCTCTACGCCTTTGATTTTTTGTACCTAAGTGTAGGACTTTGCATTTATCTCTATTGAAA